TGCTGCAGTATAGGGCGTGTTGCAGCAGTTGTAGCTGCAGTTGCTGCAGTATAGGGCGTGTTGCAGCAGTTGTAGCTGCAGTATAGGGCGTGTTGCAGCAGTTGTAGCTGCAGTGTGCGGTAAGGTTGCTGCTGCCGCCGCTATTGATTGACCCAGTGCTGCGGTCAGCTGATCGCTTCTTGGCACGCAGCGTCGCTGCTGTTGTCCTTGTTGCTGTTCTTGTTGCTGTTCTTGTTGCTGTTTTCGTTGTTACTGTCACTATTGTTGTTTTGTGAGGTTATTTATCTCTTTACTGCTGTTGTTGCGTACTTTATATATTTACTTTTTATATATATTTTTAAATTATATATATTTTATATAATATATTTACTTTTTACTTTGTATATTTACTTTACTTTACAGGACTCCTTTTTTTACTTTATATATTTACTTTACTTTGAGTTAATGCTTCTCTCAAAGCATAAAACAAATTGGGAAGCTCGCAACTCAGGCTTTCTACCTGAAATTGAGTGTGTTACCCGGGCGTTCTGAGCGCGGTCAGTCGTGCGTCTTGTCGCATTCGAGCTATTTATGTGCCTCCAGGGAAGTATATGCAGAGAAATATGTCGTAGCTAAGTGATACTTATATGCCAAGTAATACTTCTAATCCAGATAACACCTGTCTCTTATACACATCTAGATGTGTANTAATCCAGATAACACGTCTGAGCTAAGTGATACTTTATATGCCAAGTAATACTTCTAATCCATATAACACGCCTGAGCTAAGTGATACTTTATATGCCAAGTAATACTTTTTATCCAGATAACATGTCTGAGCTAAGTGCTACTTCTAATTAAGCTGTGATGATTCTGACCAAAGTAATAAATCTAAGGAAATTTATACTTTTAGGCTAATTAGTACTACTTTTAAGTGAAGTTGTACCTATACGCGGCACAAAGAAGCAAAGTGAATGCTACTAATTCGTGAAATAATTGCACATGAAATGATGTGGAAAAGAATACCGGTCAAAGTGGAAAAGTCAAACCGGTCAAAGTGGGAAAAGTCAAACCGGTCAAAGTGGAAAAAGTCAAACCGGTCAAAGTGGAAAAGAATACCGGTCAAAGTGGAAAAGAATACCGGTCAAAGTGGAAAAGAATACCGGTCAAAGTGGAAAAGTCAAACCGGTCAAAGTGGAAAAGTTAAACCGGTCAAAGTGGAAAAAGTTAAACCGGTCAAAGTGGAAAAGAATACCGGTCAAAGTGGAAAAGAATACCGGTCAAAGTGGAAAAAAATACCGGTCAAAGTGGAAAAAAATACCGGTCAAAGTGGAAAAAGTGGATGCGGCTGACTCATGGTTGAACTAGTATAAGGTTGACCCATGACAAGCTCATTTTCGCGGATGTAGATTGTTGTTCGCATTAACCACGGAAATGCGATCAAACCAGTCAACCAATCCGTCATGGGAATGACGGGTTTGTTTACGTTTCTCGATCTACGTGACGTAACAAGAAAGCTGGACTGAAAGACGAAACTTATCGCCGGTCAACCTTACGTATAGGTATAGTTCAACCATACGGCTGACATACGTATGTACTCCAAGTGTCCTCTGCCGCACCTGTTGCACATTCGGGCCTGCGTAAAATTTTATTTGGGAATGGATGCCCTACTAAAAATTGAATTCGAGTGTGACGCTAAAATGGTTAAAGCATAGGACTCGGGCAGCACGCAAATTAGCCATTACGGCATGTCTGCTTTTTGTTCTATTTTCCGATTGCGGCAACATGACATGGTAGCATGAATATCTCCCTCTATTGATCTGCAGTGGAAGCAATGGAGGGGCAATTGAATGTAACGGAATTTAATTTTAAAGCTTGTTTCTATAACTCGTTGAAAGCAAGTGAACCCGAAACTTTTGGTAAATTGAGCGCGAGAAAAAACTTTTTTTCTTCCTACCGAAAAAATAATGTAAAAAGTATTCGGCATTTAACTAATGGTAAGCTGAAGGATAACAGTGTTGCAGAAACTTCTGCGATGAACGTTCTTATCTCAAAGCATTGAAAAATAGACCATAATTTAAAAAACAGCGTCAACATTTTTCGGTGGTGTAAATTGGTATGACAGCTTTCCACTTTATGCAACCGCTTTGGTGGGAATTTACAACCATAGAGAACGGTACTAACTAGCATAGCCAGTATGGCAGTGCCAGCGACATCAGTTATATAGTAGAAAGTTATTGAACGATATACAGTATCAGTTATACAGTAGAATTCAGTTATACAGTAGAATATCAGTTATACAGTAGAATATCAGTTATTCAGTAGAATTATTGGATCAGTTATACAGTAGAAAGTTATTGGACGATATACACTATCAGTTATACAGTAGAATTCTGTTATACAGTAGAATATCAGATATACAGTAGAGTATCAGTTATACAGTAGAATATCAGTTATACAGTAGAATATCAGTTATTCAGTGGAATTATTGGATCATTTATACAGTAGAATATCAGTTATACAGTAGAANATTGAACGATCTCCTCAGGTGCAGACTGCTGATATAACCACGCGCCAGTCGCAGGACTTGAACCCTGTACTAAAATACACTTAGTTTAACCCTTATACCACTGCAATACCTTGACATGTTGACTTTTCTTGAATTTTCACTGATGACGGTAATTTAGAATGAATTTTTTATTGCTTGTTGTACTATATAGGAACCTTACATGCTCGAAGTCTTTTTAATGTCACCACGTCGCGTATTATCTGAGCTGGGCAGCGCTACTTTGAAATGTAGCGGTCGCTACATGCTCTAAATGTAGCGGGCGCTACCGCTACCGCTACATGCTCTAATGTAGCGGCCGCTACGTGTAGCGCGCTACTGCCCACCTCCGCGTATTATATGAAGAAAATTATACAATTGAATATAATTATAATTGAATATAAAGAATATTATATAAGAAGTGAGCCAAAATATCTGAGTCTGCCCTCGTGCGCAGGGTACATGGGCTGTGGCTCGTCCCAGGCGCTGTCCTCTCTGGCCGCAGTGCACCTACACGGTAACTTATGTGTATACTTTATTCTCTTGTGTGTTTTGTTGTGTAGTGTTGTGTATTGTGCAGTGTATTATGCTGTGTCCTATGCTTGTGTTATGTTTTATCTTGTGTGTTCTGTTTTGCGTCGTGTGTCTTGGTGTCTTGTGGCGCAGTTATTGATGATGATATGCGTTATCGCTGCTACACGCCTGGTGCGGTGTAGCGGCGCTGCAGTTACCGCTGCTACACGCCTGGTGCGGTGTAGCAGCGCTGCAGTTACCGCTGCTACACGCCTGGTGCAGTGTAGCAGCGCTGCAGTTACCGCTGCTACACGCAGTTATCACTTATAAATGTTCGCTGCGTAGCAGTTCTTGGCGAAGTGACAGGCGCAGTTGCCGTCCCGCGTACGTGCGAAAGGCGGCACGTACACGTGTACGTAGATCTAACACATACACGTGTCATGAAACTATCACATTCCCTGGTGCACACACCTGACGAGTTAACGTGTATGTGTGACTAACACGCGCACATGTGCGGAGAACAGTTTCGTCCACTTATGGATATTGCTAGCACGTATACGAGGACCCTGAACTAGCACTTACACGGGTACTAGCAGTCTAGCACGTACACGTGTACTAACACGTACATGTGTAGGTTGAAATAGCACGTACGTAGGTACTACACTTGTAGGCTGAACTAGCACTTACACGGGTACTAGCACGTACATGTGTAGGTTGAACAAGCACTTACACGTATAGGCTGAACTAGCACACGGGTACTAGCATGTACTCGTGTAGGTTGAACTAGCACTTACACGTGTAAGTTGAACTAGCACTTGCCTGGAACTAACAAGCGCATTTGACATGAAAAAACTCATCACATGTATGACGCTCTAATGTGTTAACGTGTTCAGTTAATTCATCTTATTACCAAAACATCAGGGGGGACTTCTGACGTGTGTCTGTGCTTTTCAGAAGTCCTATGGGACATCGCGTTACTAGGGGATTGTTCCTGAGCGCCCCACCGCTGAGCCCGCGGTGACCGTATAGGTTTCAGTTGTGGGGTTAAACTATCATGTAGGTAGAGCAGTTGGGGTTCGAACTTATGCAGACAGGTTCCCTTACATTTCCCTTCTCTGTCTCTCTCGTGCGGGCGGCCGACGTCCCGTGTAAGCGACCTCTTGTTCGAGTGTCTTCATTTCTGTTGCTTTTCACCTGTCCCTCCTTGTCACTTGTCCCTCCTTGCCCTCCTTGTCACCTGTCCCTCGTCACCTGTCCCTCCTTGTCACCTGTCCCTCATTGTCACCTGTCCCTCATTGTCACCTGTCATTCCTTGTCACCTGTCCCTCCTTGTCACCTGTCCCTCCTTGTCACCTGTCCCTCCTTGTCTGCTGCAGCGCTCCGGCCAATTGAGGCCTTACGCCCCGTGTAGGATGATCGATTTTTCATTTAAAAATGTTATAATACAAAAATCATACATACCACCTCGTTGCGTTGGTGATGTTAAGCCTTGCGGTGCTAGATAGTTTGATAACTAAGCTAAACTTACATCATACATGTAACATCAAGACGTGCACATATCCCTAATACGTCTATATATTAATAATACGTACACGTATCCATAATACGTACATGTATCCCTAATACGTACACGTATCCCTAATACGTACACGTATCCCTAATACGTACACATATCCCTAATACGTACACATATCCCTAATACGTACACGTATCACTAATACGTACACGTATCCCTAATACGTACACGTATCCCTAATACGTACACGTATCCCTAATACGTACACGTATCCCTAATACGTACACATATCACTAATACGTACACGTATCCCTAATACGTACACATATCACTAATACGTACATATGGTCGCAGGCAAGACGCCGTTCATGGGTCTGGAGGAGCAGCTTCTCATGGAGGACCCTCAACACCAGCAGCTGGTGGACGCCCTCTCCCCCCTTCACCCTCATCACCACCACCCACCGCAGCATCACCCTCATCACCACCACCAGCTGAATACCTCACCCCTGGGGGGCGTGCCCCTCCCCCTCACCTCCCCCTCCAGGTCCAGCCCTCGCTCCCAGGCCTCGGACAACGGGGAGCGCTTCAGCCGCAAGGTCTTCGTCGGGGGCCTTCCTCCCGACATAGATGAGGGTGAGACCCGTGCCCACGTGCATTCTTGTGCTCACGTGCCCTTCTTGTGCTAACGTGCCCACGTGCCCTTCTTGTTCTGACGTGCCCTTCTTGTGCTGACGTACCCTTCTTGTCCTGACGTGCCCACGTGCCCTTCTTGTGCTGACGTGCCCACGTGCCCTTCTTGTGCTGACGTGCCCTTCTTGTGCTGACGTACCCTTCTTGTGCTGACGTGCCCTTCTTGTTCTGACGTGCCCACGTGCCCTTCTTGTGCTGACGTGCCCTTCTTGTGCTGACGTACCCTTCTTGTGCTGACGTGCCCTTCTTGTGCTGACGTGCCCTTCTTGTGCTGACGTGCCCACGTGCCCTTCTTGTTCTGACGTGCCCTTCTTGTGCTAATATGCCCACGTGCCCTTCTTGTGCCCACGTGCCCTTCTTGTGCTGACGTGCCCTTCTTGTGCTGACGTGCCCACGTGCCCTTCTTGTGCTGACGTGCCCTTCTTGTGCTGATGTGCCCACGTGCCCTTCTTGTTCTCACGTGCCCACGTGCCCCTCTTGTTCCCACGTGCCCCTCTTGTTCTGACGTGCCCACGTGCCCTTCTTGTTCTGACGTGCCCTTCTTGTGCTGACGTGCCCTTCTTGTTCTGACGTGCCCTTCTTGTGCTGACGTGCCCTTCTTGTTCTGTTGTGCCCTTCTTGTGCTGACGTGCCCTTCTTGTGCTGACGTGCCCTTCTTGTGCTGTCGTGCCCNTATATTCATCGCAAGTTCTGTTTTGAGGTGTGTGCGTTATCAAAGTTATGTCACTCATCATTCGTATATATTGAATGAATATACGTAATGTTTCCTCAGCCCTCCTGGTTACTTAATCAGTTTAGTCTGTTTGTATTTAATGTGTTAGTACGCAATCTTTTAGTATATTTAATATGTTTAAAATGTGCCTCTTGTTACTTGATCAGTTTAATCTTTAATATTTAATGTGTTAGTACTCAATATTTTAGTAGTACTTGCTTTGTTTAAAATGTGCCTCTTGTTACTTGATCAGTTTAATATTTATATGTTAGTATTCAATATTTTAGTACCTACTCATTGTGGTTAAGATGTACCTCTCCCCGCCTCAGGACGAGAGCAGCGTGCAGCAGCTGATCGACACGTGCATCAAGGACGACGACAAGCTGTACTTGTGTGTGTCGTCGCCCACCATCAAGGACAAGCCCGTCCAGATCCGCCCCTGGCGCCTCTCTGACGCCGACTTTGTCTTGGACGCCTCGCTGCCTCTCGACCCCCGCAAGACCGTCTTCGTGGGCGGCGTCCCCCGTCCCCTCAAAGCCGGTGACTCTTGCGAGCTGGCGGGGCAATGGGAGGGCGCAGCACGCTATTGCTCCTGCATTTGTTTGGGAAATTATGTTATTGGGTATAAAAAACCGCGTAATCGTTCTTTGTATATGAATTTTTGTTGAAAAAACGACGTAATCGTTCTTTATATATGAATTGTTGTAAAAAAGAAACGACAAAAGTCCATCGTTGTTCATATATGAATTTTCTTCAGATACAAGAACAAAATCTAGTTCATGCAATGTAGAATATGCAAGATGTTCCTCGTCGTAGAGCTTGGTGACTGGCTGCTGTGCGCTATCTATATAAAGTATATAATTACTGTGTGTTGCGCGTGTCTCCGTGGCAATAAAGCAATTACGCAGTCATAGGTCTACTAGGTTCTATTATGACTAGTTCTTGACCAGGAAGGACAAGCGTCCCTTTGTTGACTTTATAATCTCTTAAACAAACGAATGATTGAAGATAGTTTAATTTCTGTGCTCAAGTGCAGAAAGAGAATTTAAATTTCGTGTCTCTAGCCATCAACATTTTGAATTTGTATTATTGATAGTAAGTGTATATTGGACGAGACAACGCAGGCAGATGCTATAAGTTCTAACACCTTCTTGATCCGACACACTTTCTTGGATGGTGTAGTGCATTTGTCGCTAAACGCAGCGACTGGAACTTTTCTCATATGAAGAAGGAATTCTATCTTATTAATAACTATTGGCACAACTCACATTATATTGAGGCCAGAAATATATTCGATTGACAGGATGCGAGATTTTCTGTATACTTTCTCTTTAGGGTTATTGGTGGTGAACCTAACTTTTTTTCACATTTAGAGTCATTGGTATTACTTAGATGATTGTACTGTTACATGTTAGATACGTAATCATGTTAGATACCTCCGCGATGTTTTCAGTGTTATCAGTGCCATGTGTGTTATCACTGTCGAGAACAATGATAAATTATATCAAAGTGTATCAGTGTGAGTTATACGAGTATGATACATTTTAGCTCTCTGATGATGGCTCGGAACTGAATATTATGTCATTGCTATGAATGATTTTTCTGAATATCAAGTGTGTCATGTCTATTAATGATAGTGTCATCACTACGGACAATAGTCTTATCATCACGGGTGATTGTCTTATCATTACTGACGATAGTCTTATCACTACGGATGATAGTCTTATCACTACGGATGATAGTCTTATCATTACGGATGATATTCTTATCATTACGGATGATTGTGCAGTGGAGCTGGCGATGATAATGGACCGGCTGTATACCAGATGTGCGACGAGTGTCAAGGCGCGCGCTGTGGCGGCAAGTTCGCTCCTTTCTTCTGCGCGAACGTGACGTGTCTGCAGTACTACTGCGAGCACTGCTGGCAGACCATCCACAGCCGACCTGGACGCGAGTTCCACAAGCCCCTAGTCAAGGAGGGGGCAGACCGGCCCAGGACCGTTCCCTTCCGGTGGTGTTAAGACCCCATAAACTAGGCACTTCAATACTATTTACCATACCAATGTTAACCCCTTGCCAATTAGGATCTTAAATAACCTGGCGCTTAGGGACATTAACAGCATCTCAGCTAGGGAATTAGAAAACCCGGCTGTTTTAAGCTTGACAAAACGGGATAACAGGGAGGTTAATAACCTGTAATGCATTAATTCCTGCAGCTAACAAAGTAGAAACCTTGCAATTAGCCACGTTACTACCCGGCAATTTGCGAAGTTAATGCCCAGGTAATAAAAAATGTGAATTCCCCTGCAATTACGTCCGTTCAAAATAACGCAAATGCTTCCCCGAGTTGAATTTCATGAACGTAAATAACAAGGTAATTTCCGTTGCACATGTTGCCAGCCCCTGAAGAAGGGTGCGACGACTGCTCCGTGGGGCTTCTCCTGGCTATGTCCAGACCATGGCGATGAGGCATAGAACGTAAAGGAGACTCCAGATGCCCTGGGACGAGTCAATAACCAAACTGTTGACCTCGAATTCCCTGAGCAGTTCAGTGGCTAAATCCTCCTCGTTCATTTAAGCCCCTTAGTTCCGGGCAGCTAGGCACCCAAGATATTAGACTGAAGTTTCGCATTCAGAATTGCGGTGTACTTAGAATCGACCGGCAGTTCACTGCTGTTCTGGGGCTCGCTACTAAACGAGGCCGAGTTAGGGTTTAGCGATAGGCAGCGGTAATTATTGTCTCCAAGTCAATTTTCTTACTTTTTAATGCTAGACGTACCCTATAGACTCATTTTAGAGTTCCACTGTGATCTTGGCTTTGAATTGCCTAAAGATTTGGTTATTTTTTCATTGGGGGCTTGGTTAACAGTTACCCTAGACCTAGGGACTGGGTTTATTTTATGAACTATGCTAAATATCTCCCTAGAGACACGAGGGCTCTCATTTTTCTCAGACATAACGCTGAATTATTGTTACAAATAGTGTGCCCGAAGTCTCGTCAGGAAAGCAGCGCTTTTAATTTCGTCCACATCTTCCTGCACGGCAACGTCGGCTTGTAACAATCATACCTCGTTACTCTGAGCAGCGTTACTCTTTTAGTTACAATCAGTGCAATGAGTGTCACTAGAAAAGAGCAGCCATGTAATGAGAATGTTGATGTCGCCCTGAACTGCAATGCATTTGTCGAGCTAGTAACTGGTGTCTTTCGGCGTTAGGGAGTAAAGGTGACAGAGCTTTATGCATGCGATTCGCAAAGCTTGCCACTATTTCAGAGTTTCTGGAATATCATCGTTTTTATCCGTGCAATTTATAAGTTTTTAGAATATATCCGTATTGCGTCGACGGATCGCACGCTCTTGGGCCGTCAATAACTCCTCATTATTTCCCTAACATCTAACAATTAACCTAATACCTAATAATTACCGTAGTACGAACTACAAGTTTTGTCCACTGTAACGAGTAGTGCGGGTCGTGGTGGGGATGTCCACCGTGGGGCATGGAGCCCCCGCACCTAGCACCGGGGATCATGTAGTCTTGGGTGCCATGTGTTAGCCTCTATAGGCCCCTTCCCTGCTCCCCTTTCCGTGCATTATTTAACCCTAGATTATTTGCAGCGCTAGTTGCCTTTCTTGTTGTATAGTTTCTATTATTTTTTTATGGCAAGCGTGGATATTTTTTAACTGTTATTCGGATGTTGTTTCTTGTGAGGAAGAAGCGTTGTTAACTCGTAAGGTACCCTCGTTTTTAACTCCTATTGCGTAGCGCTATTTTCACGATCTATTTAAATAGATATCTTTCTAAACGCTTAACACTATTTATAGACGTGGTTGACTAGTTTAATTCTAAGGCCTTAATGAGGCATAAAATTTTCTATTAACGGATGACGAGGATCCTGTGGATCGTCAGGCTGCAGTCGTGCATTTGTGGGACCTCATCACCTTCAGACTTCGGGGGGCGGTTACCAAGTACTCGTCATAATAAGTAATAACATTGATCTTAATAGGCATTCTTATTGAGGCTTTTTTGTTTTAACATCTAATTAATGCTCAGACTGCGCCGCGCCCTGCTTCGGCTTGCTGCGGCCATTACTTCGTGCGTCTGTGTTATTCGCGGGCTAATTTTGTGACCAAACCTCAAACGAATTCATGAACTAGTGCAATGTAATGGTACTTTGACCTGCTCGTAGTTCTGAAGACACCAAAGTCATTTGATGGTCGTGCGTTGTATGATGGTTGTACGTACGATACGCTGGGGTGTATGGTTACCCAAGCGGTGCCGCGCCTTCTGCCCAAGTTGTTGTACCGGCACCGCGCCGACATGCCAAGTTTCTGCACGGCGACGACATGCCAAGTTGTATCGGCACAGCGACGACAGGCCAAGTTGTACCGGTACGGCGACGACATGCCAAGTTGTATCGGCACAGCGACGACATGCCAAGCTGTCATACCGGCACGGCCCCATCAAGCCAAATTGTACTGGCACAGCCGGCACCGTGTGCCCAAGTTGTCGTACCTGCGCGGCGCAGCCTGCCCAAGTTGTCGTACCGGCCCGGCACCGTCTGCCCAAGTTGTCGTACCGGCCCGGCTCCGTCTGCTCAAGTTGTCGTACCACAAACAACTTCGGAGCGCCGGTCACTTGTGTGACATCGTACGTATTTTGCAGAGTCGAGTCAGCCCCCGGCACCAAAGATGTCAAGCTCTCGATTTAAGTGAAGTGGTTCAGGCTTAGACGGAATGTTAGTGAAGTTCTAACTTTTGCTTTGAGCCTCGCGGCGAGCCAGAGATTGTTTTCAAGCTTCATCTCAGCATTCGAGCTGCATCAGATCTCTATGGAATATCACCTACATGAACTAGAGAGTCTGCATCTAGGAAATTCACTTGGAAGCATCTGTCATTTGGATCAATGGATGCTTCCATCATGTGCATCAGATGATGCCAACAGTCTTAACTCGAAGCTGTAGAAGACTCGTCTCTGGTTTGCCTAGACCTTTCAAGCGTTTCTTTCTAACGCTTCCTATAAATAAATATATACCGTGCGTGCTTAGGTCTTTCTTGACTCCTTTTTTCGTGCATAGATCTATTTTTTTTAATAGGTCCATTTTGATGAAGAGAAACCCTGGCCATTCTAGACTATAAGAAATGAATTTTAATATTCAAGCGAATAACTCTTTCACGAGAAAATTAGTGCAACCGTTTGTGTGACTTCCTTATCTAGTTTGTTGCTCTGTATATCTTTGTATATCTTTGCTCGCGTCCAGCCGTACGTTGCCGAGGAGCAGCTGTCGCTTAGAAGGTCGTCTCGGAAAGTGAAGTGTGCAATATTTTTTATGCTATTTTGTTGTTGGTTGTTGTGGCCGGTGCGGGGTCATGGCTTTTTTTAATTGTTTGTTTAAGTGTCGACTTTATCACAATTTATATTGCCGCATAATGTTTGTTTTTTTATTGGTTAGAACGCAACATCAGTTGAAAATTGATTTAGAACAGGTCAAGGTTTACTTTATAAACGCAGGTGAAGACATGAATGCAATTTTGAAACGGAAAGCTAATTTTTTCATTTATTGGTGCAGTTATTCAATATCCCTCAACTTGCTTCGTATTTTAATGTTAACATCACACATTTAGCTTTATATTAAAGGAACAAAATGACATGCATTCTTTCATAGTGCCGTAACTTGTATGTAATCGCAGTCGCTAAACCGAGAGTTGTTCTGACGTGTTTTGTTCGGTTAAAATTCAGTCAAACTACGTGTGATGTTCTCTGTACAGTATTTAGTTACGCGATTGAAAAATCAATGTCCAGGGGAGAAATGCGGTTGTTGAGAAGCGAGTTGACTTGCTATATCGTACAAATTTTTTAATAACCGTCGATATTCCAGCTCGATGCGATAATTTGCAGTCAATATTCGACAGTCAAAATATCTTATTTCACTTCTTAATGTCACGGATGGCGCGTACACATCGTGCGAGATAACTTTGCTGTATCCGATTTATTTAGCCCAACTTAATGTCAAATAAAACACGCTTTCTTTGTATCTTATATCAATAAATAAGATGGTTCTGGTTTTATACGGAGAGAAAACGTATTTTGTATCTGAAACTTCATTCGAAAAGTTCAATAAACGCAGATGTTATAATTGCCCAGCCTGGTAGTAGCAACTGGTAAAAAGTGTGTGGTAAGTCAGGTTGTCAGGGCACTAATAGCCACAGGTATTTCCCCTGACCATCGACGAAGATAAGTGTTATCTGTATATGATTGAGGGCTGCGTGGCGCTATTTAGCGTCATGAGTGATCTGTGATGCCAGTATTAAATGTTTGGCGCAGCGTTCTCATTTCTCTTGTGAGCGCTTCAGTGTCGGGGGCCATACTTTCAAAACTCGCTAAGTGAACGTAAATACTTACGCTCTATTTTCTTGTCTATGATTGGTGGATTTTACTTGAACGGCCGTCAATGATTGGCTGATGAACTTACGATCTCTTAACTTTTTTTGAAAGTATAGACCCGGGTGCGGTGCCGGAATAAAGACATGCGTCTCAGCGTCGCCTCTGCTGTATCACTTTCCTCGTTCGCTGTTCAGGCTGTCATATTAAAGCTCGAAATGCACAAGATTTCATGGTATATATTAGTAATAATCCATGATTGTACGTGCAATGGTAAAAAATTTTATTTTTTTCCCGGAATAAATAATGTCATCTGAAAAATTATTTCTGTGTGGATTGAAATTTTTGAGATAAAAATCTGTCAAGTTATGGAAATCGGTCACGTTTTGAGCATCAGGAATAAATTTACGAGAATATGACCAATAAAGATGAACAAATTGTTCTGCATATCACGATCTTGAGCCCAAGTGCGAGGCTGAGAAAGTGGTCTCTATTTTGGCCCGACGTTGGTGGTTGCCCACATGGAAGCGCTATATCTTAGCTCGCAATTTACGACTCCGTCTTGATCTAGCGTTAGGTAGGTAGTAACTTGCTTAGTCGTGGCGGTGAGGGCGTTTTTTTGCCCCTGGTGTATAGACAAAGCATAGTCCTTGGATACTTTTTGTGCAAGTACTTCACTTTGTCTGTTAGCGTTAGGTTCGCCCCCGTCTTTGCAATATAAGAGATGTTTAGTAGCATGCTCGTTTGATTGTGAGATGTCTAGTTCGCTGGTTTGTATTATAGTCTTTGCATTGGTCGTACCAGTCTCAGCTGTGGTACCATTCACTGTATCATCTGCAGTTGCAGCTGTAGTACGTCGTACCATCTGTCACTATTAATGCTCCTAACCTTTCTATATACATATTATATATATACATACTTTAGCTGCTATTAACAATAATATAACTATTTATTGATGACCTAATGGAAAGCATTCACTCTAGAATATGTTTGAACTTTGAATGTTTTTAAAACGTTTTGATAGTTTTTGTATGCGTATTATAAAGGGATTTTTTATGACCTACCGAGTAGCCTGTAACGTATTCGTCCGATTTTGCAATTTTTCATTGTGTTCTTGTTTGGGGAATGCAAGGTTGGAGGTGAGGGTGCAGGGGCGAGGGTGGAAGGGGAGGGAATGAGGGTAGGAGTTGAGGGAACGAGAGTGGGAGGTTCGGGAATGTGGGTGGGAGATGCAAAAAATGTGGAGGGGAGTTGAGGGAAAGAGGGTGGGAGGTGATGGATCAAGGGTGGAGTTGCCGGATACTCGAGAATAATTTCGCCGATCGAAAATTTTTGCCGTACTGATCTTCAATACGCCTTGAGCTGGGGCGGACGCTCCTGTGCAGGGTTGCCAGATTGTTTCCAAAATCGGCCCAAGTCCGCGTGCAAAAAAAGACTCAAAGAGGACAACAATTCGACATTTGATTGTAAATTTTTAGGTTACGATGCAAAAATTAATTTTTATTTTTTATGTTCTTTGTAAAATACAGCAAGGAAGTACCGCCTTCATATATTATTACCAAACAACGCCACTGGAAAAAAACTAAATCGTCGAAATTGGCCGGAAAAAGGACCCACTTGGCAACCTCTGCATGCCCATGTGTCCAATAATGTTCAGGACCAATAGTGAACCAAGGTACACGTTTTAAACTAGCTGGTTAGGTTGAAGAGTGGTACAGCGGAGGTTGGTTGACTCGGTTGAAATGTTATCTGAGTATCTGGATCTCCCGCGGGCAGTTTCAGTGGGACTATAGTTTTGTTGCGAGAATTCGATCGCGTGGTGCAGCGTGCGAGAGGGCGGGTAGTATGGGATGTTGTGTGTCGTAGCCTCACATTTCTCGAGGCCTTTTGTAAGATGTTTTGTAATGTGAGTAAACAATTTCATTCTATTGTGCTGGATAGGCGCGAGTGCGATTAATCTACGAGAAGACAAAAGCGGCGTGCTGCTATTGGGCACCACAACCCTTCTATTGTTGACCTTCTTCATGTTTCATGATCAATTAGACTGTCGACTTCAACGAGGTTATTCACGATCATTTTATGGATTTTCATATTGTAAACCCAGATACTCATTTAGGCCGTGCGGATGGCAAAGCAGGCTAGGTTCATGCGCGCTATGTACCAGCGATCGAGAATATTTCTATGATCAAGTTTCTAACATAATCCACAATTTCGGGATCATAACTTCGACGAAGATTGTCACGTACCATGATTGATCGAAAATAATGATCATCCAAGCGGGTCGGCACGTTAATATCGTAAAACATTGTTTCTATATTCGAAA